TGATAAAAAATTTTTTTAAAAATCAGGAATATCAGAATGTAAAGCTCTTCTTCACAAAATAATGTCAACAAATAAATATAGAAAGAATGATAGAAATTAGTTTGCAAGCACCCATTGCCTTAATTATTTCAGACAAGATTTATTAATCTATGCTAAAAATCATTGTGTGAAAGATTGGAAACAAGATACTCTAATCCCAAATAATTCCCTTCACAGATTATGTGTTAATTACAAAAAAGAAAAGGAGTGTTTGCAAAGTTGAAATGTGGCAAACACTTCCTTAGCCAAGAAATCATACTTACTGTCACCAAATATCAGAGATAACATACTTTTTAATGTGATGCACTGTGAAGGATTCTATATCAATTCTGTAGTTCTCCCACTGAAAATGTTTGACCAGAACTTAACCATTAAAGAAGGAAGCAAACAACTTTGAATAGCAAAGCCTCTGACATGAATTCTTTGAAAACAGAAATATAGAGAGAAGATAAAAAATAAAAATCAATTAATGACTCAGGGGTAGGGAACGTAACAGGAATATTTTCAATACTCTAAGGAAATCTACACAATTGTTTAATCAGAAGTTGTCTTTCTGCAGACATGGCTGCAGCAAAGTAACAAACAGAAATCTTGGACTCATCAGCAAATTTTTTTGCATTAAAGGAGACTAAATGGTTATGAAAACTAAAAGCAATGTATGATCATTGATTGGATGCTGGGCTGGAGAGATTAAACACTATAAAGTTAGTTTGGAGAAAACTTTGGAAAATTTGCATATGGATTATATATCTAAAAATGTGCTGTATAAAAGTTGAGTTTACTGAATAAGATCTTTACACTGGGCCATGCGTGGTGGCTCAGTCTGCAATTCCAGCCCTTTGGGAGGCTGAGGCGAGAGGATTGCCTGAGTCTGGAAGTTTGAGACCAGCCTGGGCAAGTTGGTGAGACCTCTTCTCTACAATAAATCACCAAAAATTAGCTAGGAGTGGTGGCTTGTGTCTGTAGTTCCAGCTACTTGAGAGGTAGAAGTATCGCCTAAGCTCAGCAGGTGGAGGCTCCACTCCAGCTTGGGCAACAGAGTGAGATTCCAACTCAAAAAATCTTTACATTATATTTACACAGGAGGATGTTCTTGTTTTAGTGATAGGAGGATTGCATATTTGTCGGTGGAGATAAAGCAAATGTAGAAAGTGTCAAAAACCAGTGTATTAAAGAGTGTATGGGTATTCATTATACATTTTTAAAAATTTATTTATGGTAAAATAAGTTTTCACTTTTCAAAATAAAATGTTGAAAAAGTACCAAAAATTTTCTTATGTCATAACAGTGTATGTAGTAAAAAAAAGTACAAGGCTGGGGTAAACTTCTTAAGCATCCAAAACAAGTATCATTTTCCTATGCAGTTGGATAGCTCAGCAAACAAAACAGGCAAAAAGTCCTGCCTTTGTGGAACTTCCATTCATTCTTCTTATTTCTGATCTTCTTCTTTTTTTTTTTTTTTAGTTGGAGTCTCATTCTGTTGCCCAGACTGGAGTGCAGTGGCTGCCCCGGCCACCTCGGCCTCAACCTGCTGGGCTCCAGGGATCTTTCTGCCTCAGCCTTCCAAGTAGCTGGAACTACATACAGGTGTGCGCTACCATGCCCAGCAATTTTTTTTGATTTATTGTAGAGATGAGGTCTCGCCAAGTTTCCCAGGTGGGTCTCGAACCCGCAGGCTCAGGCAATCCACTCACCTTGGCCTCCCAAGGTGCGGAATTACAGGCTGAGCCACCGAGCCTGGCCTTCTGATCTTCTTTATCTATTAAATGGGTGAGGGTGGGGAACAGAAATAAATGCTGAACTTGACATCTTAAGGTCTCTTTCTATGTATTACATGCTATTATTTCAGATGGATGAATTTGTTATGAATAGATATGATACCTTGGTTAATTTTTACCACTTAGAAAATCTATAAAACATATTGTAATAAGAACACATCAACAACACACACAGCTCATAGTAGAAAATTGATCTATCAATTCCATTGTTCATATTATTAAAGACCCACAGTAAGTTGCTGTTGAAATTTTATAACTTTATAAATATGCTAACCTGAGAGTTTGGTATGTTAACTTCAGATAAAAGAAAAAGTGAATTTTTAAAAAATTTTCTTTATTTGTGGGTCTTGTAGTCTCCATCTTTTTGAAGTATCAAAAGAAATTCCATCACTATTAATAACACACATTGCCTCAAACAGAAAATGAAATATAAAGTTTTAGTTCAAAACTAAATTCAGAAGTGATAGCCAAACATGACCTTTTTTATACCTTTAAATAGATGCCGACTCAATAAAATACACATTTTTATTTTTTAAAAATATGAATTTTTTAAAAAATAGAATTCATAGGAAATATTTGAATAACAAATTTATGTGCCGTATAACTGGTACTCGGCCAGAATAAATATACTTCTCTAGATACTGCATATTGATTTTTAAGGTTGTTTATGTGCTGAATTCAAATGATAGATTAGATAAAATGTGGGTTGTTTTGTTTTTCTATCCATTCTTTTTTGTTTTTCTTTTGCATTTATCAATGTTATTTTTCACATATTTTTCTAGTTTGTTGTTGATGCTACAATAATAATTCAGAACTCTCTAGAGTCTCACTGGATTTGTATTTCTTTTAATTGTCCACCTTTATGTCTTTATGTGTGCATGTATTAGGGAGATGCTGGGGAGGCATTTGAAAATATATTTTCTGTTGAATACACTTGCTATTCAAGTCAACTGTAATGTCCTGGGAAAGTAGAAGGAAGGAAAGTGGGAACTTTCATATTTATTGTTAATGAGATATCTTAGAAAGCTAAGAACATTGAGGTAAGAAAGGAGAAATAAGATATAACTGTGAAGTGGATACTGGGCTTTGATTTTATATAGGGAAGATGAGGGAAACGGAAGGATATTTTTCTAGACAGAGAAAATGGAAATCAAATGTACTTAAGTCACGAATAAAGCAGGGGTGAGAGTGAAATATTTTTTAGAACCAAAGAGAGGGAGGGAAAAGGAAATAGTGTTGGAAAGTTCCTTCTAAAATAGAAGAGAGCCTGAGTCCGTGGATTCGAGACGTGCCTGGGCAACTTGGTGAGACCTCATCCCTACAATAAATCAAAAAATTAGCCGGGTGTGGTAAGCGCGCACCTGTAGTCCCAGCTACTTGGAAGGCTGAGGTGGAAGGATCGCCGGAGCCCAGCAGGTCCAGGCTGCGGTGGCCGGGAGCAGTCACTGCACTCCAGTCTGGGCGACAGAGTGAGACTCCGACTCAAAAAAAAAAAAAAAAAAAAAGAAGAGAGATAGGGAGTTTTCACATGCCTCTGAGCAAGAGTACTTAATTGTTTTTAAATATAGAAGAGAGGAATGAGTTTCAGCAAATACAATGAAAAACAAACTTTCTTTTCCTTGACTCTTTGGTAAAAGATAGGCAGGAAATGGGGAGACCTTGCCTCCTTTCCTTCTTTTCTTTCCTTTTAACCTTTTTCCCCCTCTCTCTATTGCACAACGGCACTGTGGGAAAGCTGTTTCCAGCCAATAAAAAATAGGAAGTGAAAGGAACTTATATTTGTACTTATGTCTGAGACTTGGTCAAGTTATGAAGCAGATAAAGTATAGCTTAGGAAGGTTCACTGTCTCCTTTTCTCTGGATTTTTCTTCCCACACTTCTCTTTCCACAGGCACCCTTCTTTCTGCTCTCTTTATTGCATAACCTTCACCTGGCCTGCTCTTTCTGGACTAGCCTCACCTCCTACCAGGTCTGTCCCAAAACTTAAAGCAACTAGTTACTCTCCTTAAATGGTGAGAGGCTGACATCTAGGCTTCCTTATCACAGTGATATATAACTTTGTCCATCATCAGGGCTCCACAAATGCTGGGGGAAAGTTTGTAAGAAGGATAAAGAAAGGAAGACAAACAAGGAAGAAAGGATGAATGGTTTAGTTGTTATTCCTCTTGTGAGTACCTGATTTTTAAAAGGCTATATCTGGAGTGGAAAGCTAACCCCCAAAGAGCTCTTTAATGGAGAAATTCATGTCATGAAATTGACCCTATTCCCGAAATCTTTAATGTGATGATTGGGAAGATCTCCCCACTTTCCTTCACTTGAGGCTGTAAAATGTAAGGACAATTTCCATCTCTTGAAATGTCTTAATCTTCCTCCACGTAGACTAGTTTCAACTTATAGCACTGGGTTTCCAAGTTTCCAAATGTAAGTAACATATGTAGTCACGTTAATTGTTTGTGGTTAGATGCTCATAAAATATTACCACAGCAACTCTGGGAGGCTGTATTAAGTAGAAATACATGCAGTTGCTGAGTTCTGTCAAGAGATGGTGCCATTTATACGTACAATAATACACATTCTTTAAATTTAAACAGTTTTTCAAAAGCATGAATATGAAAAGATAAGTGTACTTTATGTTTTATTAAGTTTGTATGCTTTCAGTAATCATTTCATATATCATATTTTCTGATGTTTTATTTTGTAACTTTCATTGGCTACTATTTCTGTTAGAAGCAGTTTCATCAGTTACTAAGAAAAAGGAAAAAAAAAACTTTAACATGAAAAAGACAACCCCCCTCCACAAAGTTATTCCAACTGTATTTTGATTCAAAGTTGTATAAAGAGAAAGGGTTAGATAAAGCTTCTGAGATGCTCCCAAATGAGTCTTCTGATTGTGAGCTAGCCTAGTCAGAGGCCACTTTAGAACCACAACTATTTGATGGGAATTATCCCTCAATCATGAGAAAATGGCTTTCTAATGATATTTTTTGCTTTTCATTCTATGACAGCTTCTCATCAGTCCATAAATGCCCATGGCTGGTTCTGTCAACATTTTTTGGTTTGTAGATTATGTGCTTTATGAGGCAAAACATAGCAACACAAACATTTAAATCGCCCCCACATTTTACAGCCTTGACTGTTGTATTTTATATAAAGGCCACAAAATGAATATTGTCATTGATGAAAATTGGATATGCCCGGAGTGCTTCTGCTTACTGAAGTTGCAAATGGAGCAGACTAAGAAATCAAAAGCTTATCCTGAGAAAGGTGAGTGAGGAGTAAATGCCTCATAACAGTTAAAATTGTCATTTCTAGAGGTCAGAAAAAATCAAAAGGAAAAGGGGGTGTTTTTCTTCATTTGGGAAATTTGATTTCCAATATTACTTGAGCACAATATGAGTAACAAAAGTTAAAAAAGGAATAGCATAGTTTCAATTTTTCAGAAAATTAATTAGTATGAAGAACTTAAAAATAGTTTTAAAATATTACTATAAGCTAGAATCTGTTTTGGTTTGCTTTATTTTGTTTCCTTTCTTTTGGTTTTTATTTACCATGAGACTATAGATTTTATCATTAAAATACAACAAAACTTGTTCAATGTTCCTCAAAATGCTTCCATGATGATCAGCATTCAATACAGACCAACATACTGTAACTATACAGTATATACTTCAATCTGGAAAGTAAGGGATTTATGCTTTGCAGACCGGTGGGACATTTATTAAGCCAATTCTAATCTTCCTAGCAGTTGTATATTACCTTGAGCCTTCACCATTCATCTAAAATAATACTTTTTAAAAAACTTTATTAAAACTCTAGCAAATAGCTGAGAATACTCCAGCAAGGCCAAAACAACTGTCAAGGAGTACCTCTATATAAAATGGACTAATTTCTGACAGGCAAACTTGAAACTTAGATTTTTCAGGGTGACACTTATAACCAGCCATGCTTTGTTGGACAGTAACTAGTTACTAGATCATTCTTCCCCTTCTAATAGCTTTGATACCTATAAGAATAAAAGTTGTTCAGAGACTGAGTTGGTCTTTTTCAGAGTGAATTACTCACATGTGCTTGTAAGCAACAGTTAAATGATATAAAAAAGAGCATAGTTATATTTCTTTTACTAAATAATTAATAATAATATTAATAATTTTTATAGCATTTTCTTCTTTATGATTTTTCCTGGGATTATGCCAGTTACTTGATATATTTTACCTAATTTTATACTCTAAAACATTGATGAGAGCACTATTGTAATATTTAAGTCCAGCTTTAAGCTAATCATATGAATAAAAACTTTTCCACTTAGTGTATAGTCTCTGTAAAATAATCATAATATAATTTGTAAGTGAATAAAATGAACTTCCTTAGAAAATGTTGATAGGTATCTTTTATGTATCCTTATATATCCCTTAACTGACTAAAAAGCTTAAGTAGTTGATTGAAGATTTACAAAGTATTAAGTAATGATTTAATGATGAGTAGAGCTTGGAACTTTTTGGAAGAAAATTAATGTTGACAAAAATAATGCTTCTTGAATTGAAGCAAAGGATATAAAAGTTAATTCATTTATGAGGCCATTAAGAACTCATTTCTTAAATGAGAATTTTAAGGTTCTCAAAAATATCTGAATATTTACTGTTTACCATACCACTACTAAATTTGCAGAATGATAAAAATAGCTAATACTATTGATACTTATCATGGTCTAGATAATATGCTAAGCAATCTCCAGGCATTATCATATTTAATACAAGAAACTCATGAAGCAGATACTATTGTTGCCATTTCACAGAAGAAATATAAACCAAGTTTGTATGAGATTGGCTAAGGTTGTCTGAGATATAAGATGCCAGGACTGGACAAGAAGTTAGATTTTCCCAGTAGAAAGGGCATCTCATGCTCTTAACAGTATGGTAGCTTTCCCTCAGCAAAGAGATTCTTTGAAATCTTCTAGTATGGACGTGTGGAACACATTAAGCCAAATAAAGTTGTATATAACCAAGAAATACTTTAGTGCAACCCTCATTGGCCCTTACCAATCAATATCAGTAAATAATAAGGATTGATTATATGTACTTGAAAGGATAAATTCCTGTCCTGAAGAGGTAGAAAACAGATTATTTACTGTAATTTTAACTGGAAACATTCTGATTGTATAACCTACAGAAATAAAATAGTTGTATACTGAGGCATATAAAAAATTGAAGTTACACTCACCATGAATTTTAACACCACACGGTAAACATTATTAAAGACTTGATTGTTTTAGACCCACTTATGACATTTGGAAGGAAAAGCCTAATAATTGTTCATGGCATCTAAAGAACTTTCAGGGAAAAGGCGTATTTTAAAAATTAGAGCTAATTTTTTAAAAGTTTATGTGTTGCAAGCAATCCATTCAATGGGAGTTGACTTTGAAGCTGGAAGTAAGACATTAATATGATGCCATTAACAATTTACATTAACAATAGGCATTCTCTGAATAGTATTAGTATATTCTCAATAGACCTGTAGCCAGCACTTATACTGCTTGATTCCTGAATAAACCATCCAACATAAGATGAATTTTGAGTTTTTATGAGTTATGCATTAAAAAGGTGACTTGCATACGTTGTGTTTTATACAGATAGCATTAAGGTTTCCTAACTAATTACTTTTTTTCAAAAAATTATTTTATGAACAAAATTTTAAGGATTCTTTGAAAACATAAAGTTGAGCCTTTCAAAGAAACCACTGCCATCTCCCACTGATCGGAAGAACTTTGACCATGACTTTGCCATCTCTACTTCCTTTCATGGAGTACACAATATCGTTCGAAACCGGAGCAAAATTCGCAAGGTGATCTGGTTGGTGGTGGTCCTGGGCTCCATCTCCCTCGTAGTATGGCAGATCTACAGTCGCTTGGTCAACTACTTCACATGGCCAACCACAACGTCTATAGAGGTTCAGTATGTGGAAAAGATGGAGTTCCCAGCAGTGACATTTTGTAATTTGAACAGGTAAAATAATCTTTTAATAATAATCTGTTTTTATAATTTTCTAGTATAGCTTTTCTTGGATGATTGACACAGGATCTTCTGGGGTGAAATTTAATGTATGTTAAATCATTGACGTTTTAAATTTTCACTTAAAAACAAAACTTAGGAGGGTAAAAAAGTTTACTAATTTCTTATTTATTTCACTTATTTCCTTCTGCTTTTCCTTCCTTTCACAATTATATGGTAGGTAACATACCAAACCCTGTAGTTAAATGGATTGAAAAGTCTTGATCCTTGCACTTAAAAAGTTTGTTAATTAATAAACAAGAGAAACATAAATAATCACAATGCAATATGGTATTTGCACAGTACAATAACACTATGTGCAATGGCTCTGAAAGCACATAGAATAAAGCAACAGTTTCTATCTGGTATGTTATGGAAGTCTGGGTATTAATAGATGATGAGAGGTTCCTAGTGGAGATAAAGAACTAGTAGAGGGAATTACTGTGCAAACACACAAAGATATAAAATGTTCTAGCATACATAAGATGAGATATTTAATGTAGTAGAGGCAGGACCAACTCCATGAGTGTGAGATCCATGACACTTGATTTAATGCCCTGCCTCTACTGACTTGAGTTCTTGACTGCAACTTACCCCTGAAAACTATAATCCACTGACTATATACCAAGTCTGCTCTGAAGAGGGAAGCTTTCCCTTAGGAAGCCATCCAAGCAAAGCCTTGTAATTGCCTATGGTGAGGCCTGAAAGTTCATACACAGGATTATTGCCTGGGGGTTAGGGAGAATCCTTAAGACCCACCACTTATCTATTTGACCATTGGTAAATTACTCAAACTTCTTAGTTTCAATTTTTATATTAAAAAATGAGATAATATAATCTACAATTTTTATATTTATTAGACAAGGTAATAGGTACTCCATTTTGTTTCATTCCTGGGGTATTTCTAGAACAGGTGTCTAATATATATTAGATATAAAAGCTGTCTGGGTGACTGCATACATATCTTGAGTTCTTAAAACAGGCCAACCCCTACCTCAAATAATTTTCAATATATTGCCTCACAATATTTTAAATGGTATTTATTCTAACAAAAGCAAAGATTGGTTGTAGGTATCCTTGAGTGAAGGAAAATGTAGCTACCATTTCCAGAGTGGCAATGGGCGGAGGCCACAGCCTCTGCCTTCCAAAAACAATCATAATTGGTGAAATTTTATTTTTTCGAGAGTAACAATTTGAAGTATTTTAAAATTGTTCTAATGAATATAATCAGCAGAGAAATATTTATCCAAGAACATCTACTAAATCTTAGTAAGAACCATGATAGTCTATAGAACTTGAACCACAAACCTCTTCCCCTTTCTGTCTCAACAAGACAGAAATTACACTCTGGAAAGGTCTGACCAAGACGATAATGCTTTTATTCTCAGCTTCCAGTCAAGTACTACAGTGTGTTTGGAAGATGACGATTGTCAATACATCTCATCAAATTCAATTTCATATTGCAGAAGCTAAATCTCAGATGAGTTTGACTTAAAAATTAGGGGTTCCTTTCCTCTACATGATTCCCTCTTGTAGGATAAAGACCTGTACTCCAGGCATGGTAGGCAGATAAAACTTGAACGTTGTCACTCTTATCACAGCCTGCTTATGGGGTGGAGTTTCCACATTAGGGGAGGTAAGTCAGAGGAGCAGGAATCTACTATGCTGACCAGAACCCTGCTTGTAAAGATTTTGCCCAGGAAAAGAGATGGGACATAAAATAAGAACTGTGAAGATCTCCCTAAGGAAACTGACTCTGCTTGTAAGAGTATGGTGAAGTACAAGCCCTATGGGAATTCTCAAAATTAATATATATTTTGGTGGCAAACAAGTAATAGAAAACTGGTAACTCAATGAGATCAACAAACTAAATTATTGTTTACCAATGAGAATCCAGAAAAGAGACACCCAAGAGCTCCTCTGGAGTCAAACAGCTCTGAAAGACTGGCCTCAAAAATTACTTCTGCTGTGGAACTCAAATTTAAATCAGACTGTGGAGCAATTTATGCTCCGTAGCCAACAATTAGTGGAGCCTAACACCTAGGTGTGATACAGACAGTCAGTTTAACAGAGAGAGTAGGAAAAGGGACAGTCAGGCCTGCTAGAATAACTGCCTTTAAAGGATGACTGTATCCATGCCAGTATTCCGTTCCCTCTAGTAGTGACATCAGAGACTTCACACAGTTGGAGAAATTAGACTTTACCAGAAAAGTCTACCCAAGTCATTAAACAAGTTAAAAAAAATTCAAAAACAAGCCCAGGAAGGGGGAGATTAGTGTAGTTGGTAGAATAGCGTTTCCCCCAAATTCATATTTGCTGGAAACTCAGTGGATTATATTTGAAAAATTGGGTCATTGCAAACATAATTAGTTAAATTACGATGAAGGAATGTGAGCTATAAATCCAATGACTGTTGTCCTTATAAGGCAGGAGAAGACTCAGAGACATATGGGGGAAAGTCCTCATGAAACAGAAACAGAGACTGGAATTATTCTGCCACAAGCCAAGGAATATTTTAGAACAAAAGACACGAGATATATAGAAAACAAAAACTAAAATGAAAAATGCAAGTCTAACTATATTAATAGCCCAATTTAATCTAAATGGATTAGAAAATCTAATCAAAAGATAGAGATTGTCAGATTGAATTTGAAAAAAAAAAAAAACCCAAAAGACCCAACTATATTCTGTGTGTAGGATATGTGCTTTAGATTAAACGTGGACTAAGTTAAAAGTAAAAGAATGAAAAAAGGTATTTCATGCAAACAGCAATGATCAGAAAACTGAAGAGCTTAGAACAGAAACCTACCTCAGGCAAAATAGTCTTTAAAACAATATTTGTGACTAGACATAAAGATGTCATTTTATATGATAAAGTGGTCAATTTATTGGGAAGATATAATTTAACCTAAGTAATTGGATTATGCAATATCCTACTCTCAGTAATCAATAGAACAGCTAGACAGAGGATCAACAAGAAAATAAAAGAGTTAGAAGACTTAAAAGTCTTTATAAACAAACTAGACATAACAATCTATAGAGCACTTTATTCAACAATAGCAGAATACACATTCTTCTCATGTCCACATGGCGCAGTCTCTTAGGATAGACCATATAGGAGACCGTAAAATAAAGTAAAATTGGTTGAAAAGATTTTAAACCATTCAAAGTATGTTCAACCACAATTATGTAAAATTAGAGACCAATAATCAAAATAAATGTGGGATATTCACAAGTATGTGAATATTAAGCAACATACTCCTAAATAACCAACATGTTGAAGAAGAAATTACAAAGGAAATCAGAAAATACCTGGAGATAAATTAAAATAAAAACATAATACCAGACTTACAGTATGCAGTTAAATCAGTGCTTAGAGGGAAAGTTATAGCTGTGAACACCTACATTAAAAATAAGATTATGTGTAAACAAAATATTTAATACTCTATGATCTAAGTACTCTTATAATTTGAAGTATCAAGATATAATTCATTTTGCATAGCTCAAATCTCAAATCAGTGATTTCAATTTCTGTGTTACACAGTGGTATTTTAAAAATTGATAGTGTATCTTAGCTTAGTTAAATATAGTAAGTGACCAGACAAAAAGGAGATTTAATATTCTAGAGGCTATAATCGTAGAATAGAAAAGTTCTTAATTATAAGATAATTATTCCTCCTTAGTTTTTTGTTCAAAGAACTAAGACATTATTAGTATTATAAGCATGAGAGACATCTACAACTCCCAAAGTCTAATTTTGCAGATAGATACGTTGCATATCAGTTCATGAGCATCATACCCAACATTGCTCAGCAAATTAATGACAGTTCAAAAAAAGAACTCAAGCTATTTTCTGGTTTTCAAAGCCAATGATCTTCAAACATTTTGGTTCATGTGAAATATAAACAAACTTTTAAAAAGTACATATTTAGCTTGCATATTTTAAATTGATATTTACATTTTTAATCATAATTTTCAGTAAGTTTATTTCTTATTTTTAGTAGATCAAAATATCATATTTGCCAGGTGTGTTGGCTCACGCCTATAATCCCAGTAATTTGGGAGGTGAAGGGGAGAGGATTGCCTGAGCCCACGGATTTGAGACCAACCTGGGCAACATGGCAAAACCTCGTCTCTACAATAAATCAAAAAAATTAGCTGGGCATGTTGGCACGTCACAGTAGTTCCAGCTATTTGGAAGGCTGAACCGGAAGGATCGCCTGAATCCAGAAGGTCAAGGCTGCAGTGGCCACGAGTGTGCCACTGCACTCCAGCATGGGTGACAGAGTGGGACTCTGACTCAAAAAAAAATCATATTTATATTAAATCATATTATCATAAATATTTAATGTTATAAGATATATCTATGAGCTAAAATGATTTATTGTAATAGAAGTAAATATTTTATATAATTTCATGAAATTTTAACTACTTCAATTACTGAAACACACTAGTAGATAGAAATCAGGTAAAATTTGTATCTGTGGACTTTATTCAAATATCTAAATTTAGAAAGTCTTACCAAATAACCTAGTTACATATAATATAATACATTTCATTATACTACTTCATATTCTGTCAATTTTAGAGGATATCAGCAAGGGTCCACTACTGCTAAGCTTTACCCTAACTAGAAACATGTGTATGACAGGGAAAGACAAGGTTTTAGGAGCCTTGATTAATTCTTTAAAAAGTTTTCCCCTGAAGCAAGATAAAATTTAATGATGTATCCCTATGTCAAGGGTTCTTAGGTGGTTACACACCGGTATGCATTCCATACTAAGATTTGAGATGAGTAACAGGTTAAAACTCTTTCTCATATGGAAGAAGAACCATTATAATAAGAGAATATGAAAATGTATTCCCTTACAGTTCTATGTGCATCGAGCCACTCAGACCTGCACATCCCAGTTTGAATGCCATTGCCCTAAGCTAGATTGTTTCTGAATAACTTGAGGGAGAAAATAAAGTCAAGCTTATCATTACGATTTCCTTAAAGTTGCCATGATAAGATTGGGGGAGGGGTCTATTGATCCCAATTCTTATTTTAACAGAGGGAGTCCTCTGTTAAACAACATTGCCAGCAGAAAATCTACACCAGACATGGGGAAACTTTTCCAAATGATTTGAATTTTTAGAAAAGGTTGACTTTTTGCAATAGGTACCAGGGGCCTATATGCAGTATATGTCACAGCAGATTATTTTATTTGTTATTATTGTTTTTTTACTTTTAATTTTTTATTTTAAGGATGTGGAGTACAGTTCAGGGATATGTATACATGTGTTCATTATGCAGGTACCCTTGTAGATGAAGTGTGTCCCCCTACTCCTGGCAGATTTCCACTACTGCCAATCCTGCATCCCCCCACCCTGGCAGTTTCCTCCTACTGCCAATCTTTTTCTTATAGTATTACAATAAATGTTCAAGGTCTGCTTATGAGTGATAATATGTTATACTCAGTTCTTTGTTTCTGTGATAGATTGCTTAGTATTATAGACTTTAAGTTCATCCAGGTTGCTATGAAGTTCATGATTTTGTCTTTCTTTTGACTGTGTAATATTTCATCATGTATATGTACCACATTTTTTCTATCCAGTCCTCTTTCGATGGGCAGCACAGTTGGTTCCATGTTCTTGCTATTGTGAACAATGCTGCAATAAACATATGTGTGCAGATATCTTTTTTTTTTTTTTGAGTTGGAGTCTCACTCTGTCGCCCAGACTGGAGTGCAGTGGCACACTCCAGGCCACCACAGCCTCGCCCTGCTGGGCTCCTGAGATCCTTCTGCCTCAGTCTTCCAAGTAGCCGGAACTACAGGCGAGCGCTACCATGCCCAGCTAATTTTTTTATTTATTTATTGTAGAGACGAGATCTCGCCAAGTTGCCTAGGTGGGTCTCGAACCCATGTGCTTAGGCAATCCACTCGCCTCGGCCTCCCAAAGTGCTGGGATTACAAACTGAGCCACCGAACATGGCTGATATTTTTTCATAGAGTGATTTGAGTTTCTCCAGGTATATTCCCAGCAGGGGGATTGTGGTGTCATATGGATGGTCAATTTTTAAATCTTTTAGAAATTGCCACACTGTTTTCCACAGAGGCTATATACTAGTTTACACTCCTACCAGCAGTGTAGAAGAGTTACATTTTTGCCGCATGCTCTCCAGCAAGTAGATTATTTTTTAACACCCTTCTCTACATGACAAAATTATTTTCAGAAAGTTATAGAAGTAAACAAATGCTAATAATGGCCTATGTGTGTTTATGCCAATAAAAATGTTAAAAATAAAATAAGTATAACGCAAAAGTAGGAAAAAAGGTAATGCATTAATACTTTTTAACACGAATACACTTAAAATTTTTTTTTTATCTGTCACAGTAATGAATAATAGCATTATATTTAGGCTTTTTAGACTTTCTGAATATTTGTCAATGATTTCATCAAAATTAACTTTCTTCATGTATTCATGTATCACACCACAACTACATTTGTCAGTCTAGCTTAATTCATAATTGACTAAAGAACATTTATTAATTTTAATTTTAAAAACATGAAACAATGACTATACAAATAGGTAAGTAAACTCATAATAATACATTTGGTAGAAATTCAGAAAATCAGTTTTTTCAATAATTCCAGAAATTGTAATAATGCTCATATCTTTTTTTTTAAATCATTTCCAGTGGTTTTTAAGTGTCTTTGTGTCAAAAATGTTCACTAAAATAAATTCATCATAGAATTCATCATAAATTCCATTATTATTGGTAAAAACTTCTGAATTTTACTTTCTTCTACAAAAATCAGAGGTGATTATCAGATGTATGATTACCGATTCATTGTTTTATACTGAAAACTCAAGTACTAGTTTTTAATCTTTACAATAACTGTGCTTGTTTGTTTACTCCAAATCTGTTTAAATGCAAACCTTTGTATTAAAAATGTTTAACACAAGGTGAATTTGTCACTCTCATAGATATAAAATAAATACATACCAAATATTTTATTAATTAGAATATGGTAAGATGTTAACATTGACTGAAAGGAGAATACATGATAGACTTGGATTTGTTTTGGCAGAACTCAATGAAGGGCTGAATCAGGTATCAATGTGGACATAAAATGAAACTTGCTCATTTGGGTCATATAATTTAGGAGGTGTAATTAGGACTATCAATAGACATTAGAAGGACAGATTCAGATCTGATAACAGATTGGTTATCAGATGTTAAATTGTTGAAGTAAACAAATATATTTTAATGATTACTTTCTTTTAATAGACTCTTACCAGTATATGTTAAATAAAAGAGTATGGCAAACTCCATCTAAGCACTGTTTCTGAAAGGATAGTTTTGACCGATTTTGAATTTCAAATTAATATTGAAATTAAACTCAGTGCAAAACATTTAGATTTTATGCTGAACAATATGTCTTACAAAAAATTTTACTTCCTTGATCCTAATACTTTTAGACTTTATTCATTAAATTTAATTCATCTATATAATTTACTCTCATGTTCTCTAATAAAATAATGCAAAACTTTTAAAGAATACTGCAGCATGTCTTTCCATTAAACCTTTATATTATCTATTATATTTATACCTCCCCAAATTATGATAATCCCTTTATCTGCATAATCATTTTTTTAGAAGAGTCCAGTGAACACTGTGTCAGGGAGTATTGACTCAGCCTGCCCAGATTCCAAAGTTGCAGGGCTTTGGATGATGATCCTTGGTATCCTGACAGTAATTTGGATTTAGAAACCCTAAGTTGCTTAGAAGTCCATCTCTCAATATAGAGTTAATGCTGTGCTCCTCCCCAAATCAGTTACTAATGTAAATTGCTAACCCTTCAAGAGATCTCAGAAATACTTGCAAGAAAAGCAAGTTTATTAGAGATACTGTAACTAGGTAAAATACCAGCGTGATATAAACTTAATAGTTTCTCAGAATAAGGAAGTCAAGGAGAATATTTATAGTGTTTTAGGACCTGGTCTGGTCTTGCAAGACTCAGAGCTGGTTAAGTAAAGTATTATATTAGATGCTGATTATGAAAAGTTTCTCATATCTTAAAGAATGAATAATTTTGGCTTGGAATTTTTTTCCTCCATTTTTTGTTTGTGTGTACTCTACTTTGAATGAAAATGGATTTAGCAAAACTTGTATTAAAAATTTTTAAATGCAAATATAATTTTATAATATAAATAAAAGTAAAAATAAACGCTGACTCATAAAGACAGCCCAGGCATGCACACAGACAACACATACCATCTATGTACCAAGAGTGGACTACACATTCTATTGAACATTTTCTCAGCCTATTTAAGGATAACTTTTGTCCAGTTTAAGATTTATAATACCCAAAATATGAAAATATTGATCAAGTTTTAAAAAGACTGTTAAGTCATGCAAATAAAGAACCATATGTAATGTGAGGCAGAAATTGTTCAGCAAAATAAACAACCTACAAATAATCTAGTAGTAAGGCTAAATAGATTCCTTCTGCTTTGATTGCCAGAAAATACATTAGCAATGAGGCAATTATTTAATTAATACTTACCTAATACTATATTCTAGACCTTCTTCTAAATGTTTTAGGAAAATAATTAATGCAATCATCAAAATAACATTTGAGACAGGTTATATTAACAGTTGTATATTACAATTTAGTTGCATTTTACAAGTGAAGGAACTAAGTCACGGGGAGATGAAGAAATTCTCTAAGTCATACCATTATGTGCTTTTAACAATTAGAGGTTGACCACAGCAACAGAATCACTGTGAGTGGTACAGAATAAAGGAACTACTGTAGGGAGTAAGCCTCACTCATCCATAGGATCTGGTTAGGCAGTCTCTCTGTAAGTCTGTTGACTGTGTTTCTGGTGCAGGGCCTGCAGTTGGCAGGGCCAGAAGTCAGAGGGGGAAAATTGGTATGAAGTGGAGGAAGAACATACAAACCGAAAATATGTGTCTCTTTTTCACCACCTTCAATCTTGATGTGGGTAACGTGCAGGATAGTTGGCGCCTTTCCCAGAATGCACTCTCACCTAACCCGGTATTTGAAGAAGCTGAAGAAGGAGATCAGACAGGAGATATGGTCTCGGCTGCTGTCCTATGTCTCATACCAGCAAGTTGAGTCAGCAGAGCTATGACCACAGCTGCGCTGCAAGGACCCTCAGAGCTTGTGCTGAGACACATACAAGGATGGAAATGGTGGGGAATACAGTTCTAACTTGGCTGAGCAGTCACAGAACAAAGCTACACAAAGGACACCTGACTTTTAAATATTTTCTTGACACCTACATATTCCTACCCATTCTTTTAAGTTATGTCTTGAAGATTCATTAGGTGTGAAGATTCCAGACCAAGGTGTGGAAGGTATTTCAAGTAAATAAAATCATACAGACAAATAGAAGATACCTCTTTCAAACAGTTAGATAAGGAAAGATGGACTGTGTCAAAGACATCTTAAGAATTAGTTTTACTTGAATGTCTTGCAAAATAGGAAGAGTGTAGGTGATAAGAAGCAGCTAATAAAAACCAGATGTTTGGTCTCTATCTTCTAAAAAAGTGCAAGTTTTTGTTATTCTAACTAATGTCTTTATTGCTACTAATAGGTTCCAAGCAGATGCTGTAGCAAAAGTTGGTGCTATTTTTTTTTTATGGCATATTGTATCCAAAGTTCTCCATCTTCAAGAAATCAGTACCAACACCACGGGCTTTAAAGAGGCTACTGATTTTGTTTCAAGTCACCAAAACTTCAGCATTGCAGAATTTATCAAGAATAATGGTTTTTATCTCAACAGTAGTACTTTGTTGGACTGTGACTTTTTTGGAAAGCCATGTGGCCCAAAGGTAATGATTTGATAATTCTGTAAATATAATCAATATAATAAGCTATTTTACTGTACTGTTTCACATTGAAATAAAGTTTGCTCCCATATGGAATCAGCCTAAATTTGGTCAAAGATCATATTTCACTAACTCAGTCTTATGATCTTGGAGTGTGGAATACCCATGAGACAAATTTCCTCTTTAAAGCAGTTAGATAAGGAAAGATGGAATACAGAAATCTTTGTTTGCCTTTCTTGTAGCATAGTCCTTCCAAAAGAAAAATAATCTAACACAAGAGGTTATTTTAATTTTTCCATTCATCAGCAAGCTATTATAAGATAGCATCTTTATCATCATTAAGTAGCCATTACTTTGTTTTTAGGCTTCTGGTATTGCATTCAAGGCTATAGAAAATGAAAGGACCTTAACATTTCACTATGAAAAGTATATATATATATATATATATATATATATAAACATATATATATTACACATAATAAATATATATTCACTCATAACATATAAAATTCATTTTTATTATTTATATAATTATTTACATTTAAGAGAAAGTGCTGGATATATCTGAAATTTATTAACAAAGAGATTTGTGGGCAATTTTATCCATTTTCCCTGTGTCAGCAATTCTGCAAGTTGTGTTGTTAGGGGAGCCTAAGTAAACATCACAAATTCTTGGTTCTGGAATACAATTCCTTATCCTTTTACTAGATTTCCTTAGCATGCAGTAAATAGGAAAAAAAAAATACTGAGAGACATTTGACAGAGATGAAGCCTCAATCTGAACTCCACATTTAGAAACGAAGCTCTTCACATTTAACTCATTATCAAGAAATTTTGTATTAGAGATGACATTTTCAGCTGTGTATTACAGAAACTCAATTCTGTAACAGTAAGTTGAAGAGTAAAAGTAATGAATTAGTTTAATTGGCTAGAATCTCTAAGAGTAGGGCTGACTTCAGAAAATGATGAACCAAGGGGCTTCAAGACTATCGCTAAGACTCTGTCTTTGTCTCCATCTCATAATTTTGTCTCCATCTCATAATTTGTTTTCTTTTCTTCTTTTTAAAATATGGAACGCTTCACGAATTTGCGTGTCATCCTTGTGCAGGTGCAGGGGCCATGTTAATTTTCTCTGTATCGTTCCAATTTTAGTATATGTGCTCCCGAAGCGAGCACCATCTCATAATTTCTATCCCTATGAGTTTTCTCCGCACAAAGCTAAGAGGTCTGCTTGCAACCCCTGACTTTCATTATCACAATTTGGTACTACAGTATCCACTTAAAAGTCTCATGGAAGATTTCAATTAACCCTACTTGGGACACATCAATTCCTGAACCAATCATGGAGGCAAGAAGGTGGGGTGTTAAAATCTGCCCAGCTTGTTTCACATACACACCTCTGTAGTGGATGGAGAAGGAGGGTCTAAGGAGCAATGTGATTGCCACACTATGACCATGCAGGATGGAGGATGACTGGCCCCTCCAAGAAAGGATGCTCAAGTTGGTTTCATATGTTTGACATATGTTTCCACAAATCCTAGTAAATATAAAATAAATACTTTCTTAAATGTTGCAAAACAACTGCTGAGTGTCTTATTTAAATAATCACATGCTAATTGACAAGTGCCTATTGTAAAAAAACCAAAACTATTCCTTAAATCACAGGCTGTCTAATCTGTCTGATATTTCTGCATTCTTGCTTAGATATTTGTGAGTTAAAGAAATTATAGCAACTTAAACTTTAGAAGTGATGAAAATACCCATTGATTGTGTTCTATTTGGTTCATTTTCATATTGGAGGATTTTGCACATGTCTTCACTGAATATGGAAATTGTTTTACTTTTAATCATGGTGAATCTATGCAAGCAAAGAAAAAAGTGAGTGTCTCCGGAAGAGGGTTAAGATTGCTCTTCAATGTTAATCAGGTATTGGATTTTCTTCAATTTAGTCAGGTTTAAGACAAACAAGATTGGGCAGGAGTTTAAAAAAAAACGGATCACAATATTTTGCAGTGTCAAATAGCTCTCATAAGGTGAATATTATTTTATTTTTGTTAATTTAACCTAGACTCTCGTGGATTCTATTTAACTATTGACTTAGAAATTAAGCAGGCAGAATGTTGAGACATAACATCGAGTTTTTAGCTGTTCTACTGACTTTCAGTATTGTGACTCCAGGAAATGTTCATGCCACAAAATAAATAAATTCAGAGATTTCTAAGTTGAAATGTATGTAGTTATTTTAAGATACCTTTATGCATTTAAAGTAATTGTAGAAATATGCTCATGTAAATAAAACAATATGTTTTAGAAAGGAACAAAATGTACACATTTGACAAACCCCACAATCTATATCTGGAAAGACAATTTAAAAATAATTGCTATGTAAAGAGTATAATATAAATGGACTATGCCTAAGCTTAGCTTTTGGAAAGTTTTAAGTGTTCTAAGAAGTTCTAAGTGTTTAGGCTGAGGAGGCAGATGTTTAGACATCTTAGAAGTGCAGTGGTGTCATCTTCAAGGGTACCTGGTATAGCTCCTACCCAAGGTTAACTCTCACCTTCTGTCTTGTATAACTACTTCTAGTATTGCATATTTAAAGGTATTCGACCCTGTTATTTTTGTTTTATAAATGAGAATTCTGAAATGCTGATGGATCAACTATCCAAAATCACACAATTAATGACAAAGTGGAAAAATAAACCTGGTCTTCCTGAGTTCCACAAAACAAACTCAGCTTCCAATCTAAATGAATATGACCAATGGTCATTTGTAAATAATGTTTGTTGAGGTTAGTTTCTTTAATTGCTGAGGTTAATGTCATAACTTCCTCCTGTATTCCATTCAGAATATTTTTCTTTATTTCCAAATGCAATACTGCTCACTTCAATGAATGTACTTACCCATATTGTATATATATATATATATATATATTTGATAAGTATTTTCAAATCATTTCAGATATTAGCCATATGATCAGTTCAATATCATATTATAAATTTAACAAACTAGAATTTTCCAAATATTTCAGAATCCAGTTGAAATACACAAATCCAATGCAATGTTCCATAAGTAAATGGCACTGAGCTATTTCTCCAGACTTGCCAGCTAATGTTTCTTAGACAGCTGTAAGAGAACCAAGAGAAATAGGGTTCTGAGTAACAAAAAGGATACTAAGCATGTTTATTAAATGTGATTATATACACACAGTTGACCTATTCACAAGAAAATCATTATATTCTTAAGTCTATTTCCCCCTTATATCTTGAAATTTCAACTAATGACAAAGTCACCAGAAGAGTAGTTTTACACTTCTTCATCTGACATAAGGTTTATATAAAAATAACATTGCTGTTAATGAAATGGTGTAAATATGCAATCTTACGGGGAAATGAATTTGAAATTTAAATAAGGTCAGGGATTTTAATTGCAAAGTGAAGAGGAAGGCCAAATGATTTTCTAAAACAAATGAATCAGCGAAGAAGAAGCAAGCCACTATTAGTCAAGGAGGTAAAGAGAGAACTAGAGGAAAGATGATGGTAACAGTCACCACATATACTTATGTCTTGTGTCTTAGGAGAAAAATGATCCAGAGAAAACCATAGAAAATCATGAGAAGTCTGTCTTAGATGTTTAATTTTCACGCTTTTCAGACAAAAAGAGATTGGCTCTTAATATAAGATATTTGATTTCAGGTAAATCAAAAGCTATCATGAGATGATAAAGCTAAATCCTAAACTTGTATAGAACTGTTGCAGTCAATTTGCATTTTGGGGGAAAACATATTTTTGTTTCAGGAAGAATTCACTGATAACCCCACTCTTGGTTTCGTTGATGCTGGGATCATCTTCGTTATCCATTCACCGAAAAAGGTGCCGCAGTTTGATGGTTTAGGCTTGTCCTCACCTGTGGGGATGCATGCACAGGTGACCATTCGCCAAGTGAAGGTAAATCTTCCAGAGACGTAGAGTTTGAATTAGGTGAGGTGATATGTAGGTAGTATGAGGTAGTATTAAGTGAGGTATGTTTTAAAAATGCATAAATAATACTGTTCACTGAAAACCCCTTTCTCCCATGCCTTTAGAACACCACTGGAAATTCCAAAATTTCATTTCAGATTATTTTTTTGTTTGTTTTTTTTGAGTTGGAGTCTCATCTCACTCTGTTGCCCAGGTTGGAGTTCAGTGGCATTCTCATGGCCACCACAGTCTCAACTTACTGATCTCAGGAGATCCTTCCGCCTCAGCCTTCCAATTAGCTGGAACTGCAGGTGTTTGCTACGATGCCCGGCGAACTTTTTTGATTTATTGTACAGATGAGGTCTCGCCAGGGTACCCAGGCTGGTCTCGAACCCCTGGGCTCAGGCAATCTCTGGCCTCGAACTCCCAAAGTGCTGGGATTATAGGCTTGAGTCACCATGCGCAGCCCATTTCAGATTCTTATCCTTTATCTGGAGGCACATATTTAATAGAAATAGTGAAAGTGGGGAAGCCTGTCAAATCCAAGGTAACTTTAAATTTCACCAGAAATTGAAAAGGCCAGTAAGTATGAGGTGATACTTCAATGGGACTATCTCGGAAGGAGAAAGTTAAAGTGGGAAGAGCATGAATCTTGGAGTCAGGCTGATCTGGCAGGTTTACATTTGCCTTAATTTCCTTATTTGGCTTCCTAAATTTGCATCTCGTCTCTGATCAATTGGGACTGGAGTAATACTTTCCTTTCCTTTTTTTCCCTCCTTTATTTTATTTTAAATATGTGGGGAACAAGTTAGGATTCAGTTCATAAATGGTCTATGTGCAGGTGCAGTTCCACTGGTCCTCACTTCCCCTGGTTCTCACTTCCCCTGGTTTAGGATCAGGTACCTTTAGTGATGTTATGCCCTTCCCACCCTTTCCCCCTACTGCCCTACACACACATAGTGTACTGCCACTACCCATCCCTCTCTCATAATACTGTGGTACATGTTCAGGACCCACTTATGAGTGAGAACATGATGTATTTATTTATTTGTTTCCGTGATAAATCACTGAGTATGATAGTCTCTAAATCCATTCAAGCTGCAACAGAGTCCATAATTCTGCCCTCTTTATGGCTGCATAATATTCCATCATGTATATGTACCACATTTTTTTTTTGAGTTGGAGTCTCACTCTGTCGCCCAGACTGGAGTGCAGTGGCCACTCCCGGCCACCGCAGCCTCCACCTGCTGGGCTCCGGCAATCCTTCTGCCTCAGCCTTCCAAGTAGCCGGAACTACAGGCATGCGCTACCACACCCGGCTGATTTTTTTATTTATTGTAGAGATGAGGTCTTGCTGCCCAGGCGGGTCTCGAACTCGCGGGCTCAGGCAATCCACTCACCTCAGCCTCCCAAAGACGGGGGATTACAGGCTAAGTCATGGAGCCCGGCTTATGTACCACATTTTTAAAAATTCATTTTACTTTCGATGGACAACACGGTTGGTTCCATGTCTTTACTATTGTGAATAGTGCTGCAATAAACATGCGTGTGCAGGTATCCTTTTCGTAGAATGATTTGAGTTCTTCTGGGTATATTCCCAGAAGGGGAAAATACTTTCCTTTCATACTAATAGCGTTTAAGTGAAGTATCATAAAGAAAGCACTTACTATGTTGCCTGGCACATAAAAGGTGCTCAATGAAGAATCTTTTTTGGTTTGTTTTTGGTATGATTTTCATTGCTATTTTGTAGGTGTGCTGATTGATATGCTAATATAACATTTACCTAAATTATTTTTTATTATATGAGTTAATTTTTAGAATACTCAGTCTGTCTGACTTTATTGATTAACATTTGAGATATACATGAAAGGATCACTCTTATACTTAACCTTTCAGGTTTACAGAGTAGACAAAATAGGCAAGTGTCACCCTTTTAAAAATCAAAGAGATCTGAGAGAAAAGTAGAAATGTTTATCAGCCTCTCTGATGAAAATGGGTAGGTTGACTTAGATAAATCTCCTGACGCAGGTGTTTATTTTTATCTCAAGACAGTTCATCAAGAATACCCTTGGGGAGAATGCGATCCTAACATCAGGCTACATAGCTTTAGTACCTACAGCACGTCTGGTTGCTTGAAGGAATGTAAAGCCCAGCACATAGAAAGGCGATGCGGATGTTTGCCTTTTCTGCTTCCTGGTAAATAAAGAACAACGACTTGCTCCTCACTTAATTATATTTACTTAATTTGAAATATAGTAAACCAACACATCATTTTTCCCATTTTATGAAATTCTACACTAGAAAACTATCCATATGCCAAAAACAACCTTAAAGGACAAGTTTTACATCATAAAATCATAGCAGAACTTTCCTGAAAAGAAATTGTGTTGTTAGGGTGCGTCCCCAATTCTTATTCCCAAAGGCTAAATCAGATGCTCTCAAATATCTAAAATGGCATGTCCAAGTTTTCTGAATTTTGAAAGAAAGAGGATGTGTACATGACTTACAGGTCCTGAAGAATTCGCTGTTTAGAAAGACTGGAAAGGGAACTTCAAGTCTCCTTTGCATATGGTTTGAAACACTTCCAGAACAGTGGGTATGAACAGGCATCCAAGGAGGCAACAGAGTTGGGTGAATCAGAGCTGGATCTCACCCAGGTTGCTCAACTCAGCTCCACAATTTCTCTCCCTGGTGATCTTGGACAAGTGACTTAATCCCTCTCCTGCTGTAAAATAGGGAAAATAGTAGTCCTGTTCTTAGGGTTGTTGTAAAGATGAAAGGAGTATTAGGTGGTTTAAAAAGTGCCTGGCACAGAATATAATCCAGATAAATGTTGAATATCTTTATGCAGGTTTCCTCCCTCCCTCATCATATCTCTAAGGGGGAGCACATTAAAACCTGTTTGGCTCTTCAGGTTTGCCATAGTTGCCCAACTCACGCACACACACGCACACACACACACACACACACACACACACACACACACACACACAGTTCACATATTCTAACTCTACCTCTTTGTAACATTATCCTCCTGCCAAACTATTTTTCAAGGATTTCTGGAATTATCATTTCCATCTTTCTAGAATCCAGATTTTATTGATCTCTGGCCCATCCAAAAACTGCCATTCTTTAAAACTGCTAACTCTGACTCTTATTTGTCTTTCTCAATTCTACTTGCAAAGTTACTGGAAACAAGTCTGAATTAATTCAAGCAGAATAATGCATATGATTTTAAATTGCATCATTTCTTATTAAATGCAAACTGAATAACTAATATGATTCATAAACTAGGCAAGATGCCATATAAAACACAAAGTGCAACATTTGCATCAACTTCGGGGGACACCAAATACTTTCAGGAATGTTGTCTTATGTGGTCACATAACCTTCTACACCTACTTGTTGATGCAGAACCTGAGGCTTCTAGACGTGGCAGGAATCAGCTAGGGGCCTTCACAAAATTCTTATGGAAGCAATCTCCAAAATAAGCTTTTTAGACATGTGTCTTTCAGGAATGTTGTCTCATGTGGTCATACAATACTTTACACCTATTCGTTGATACAGAACCTGAAGCTTCTAAACATTACAGGAATTAACTAGGGACCTCCACAAACAACTTGTGGAAGAAGTCACAAAATAAGCTTTCAGACATGCGTTGTTTCCAAAATTTTATTGTTCTTTATAATGGAAGATATATTACTGCCAGAATTTAGGCACAATTTGGAAAAAGGGAGTTTTTTCCTAACTTAATGTTGGAGGTAGTTTCTCTTTTTTATATTTCCTTCAGATTCTTCCCAAAGAACAGTCCATGTGGTTAGTCAAGAATTCCACAGTTTACTCATAAATTGCAAGTGGACAGTGTTCTTGGTTATTTTCTGGATCATTGACTAAACACTGTGGTTAACCTCAGAGACCACATGGTCTATAGCGATAGACAAATACTGTATTAAGGCTGAAAAGCTAAGGTTTTGGAATCAGCCTAGGATTAAACCTGGCTCTGATACATATTGATTTAATGATTTGTCTCAAGGTCTATAGCAGGTGCTTAATAAATACTGGTACTTATCAGCCCCCGCTCTACTCTTAGAGTGGCAGCTCAAAAAATATAAATACACACTCACATACATACATATATATACACATACATATATGCACACACACATATATATGTCTACCCATCAAATGTGTATACACAGACACATGCACTTGTCATATGTGTGTGTGTATAACAGGATTATGAGCAGAATCAAATATGATCATAAATGTGAAAGTAATTTTGCATTTACGTTATAATGTAATGTTTGAAAGCTATCAACATTTTAAAATTATTACCACTTAGAGATTTTAGAGTGGTAAAGGATAAAGAACGATAGAAAGTTAGAAAAAAATGAAAACATTACTCTTTCTTCCAACATATATTTTGTTGGGTACTAGCATGCTTACATACTTAAAAAAATGTTCATATGGATAGATGTATGGATGTAGGTAAGAAAGGAATTTTTGTCTTTAGGTCACTTATTTTACAAAATGTAAAGTCTCTAAATGTTACATTTATTGTTTTTAAGGAAATGGGATAGAATGTGACTTACAAAAATACTACAACTGTGTTTCTCCTATACTTGGTAAGTGGTTTAATTTACTTTATTTATTTTCAGGATTTATATTAAAGTTGCTTAGAGGTAATACAAAACATTAAATCACACTATGGACAGAAATAAAACAGAATATAGAGTATAAAAGAGTTTAATAAAATGTTTTTAGACAATAGTTTACATACATAAACAATAAAAACAAAGAACCAAAATCTCTGATTTTAAGACACATTTGAATTAAAGATACACAGTGACAAAGCAACGGCAAGATAATTTAATTTTTATTTCTAAGTCTTTATAAAGTTTTCATAACTTTGAAAAAGTTTGCATTTTATAATCAAAATAGCCTTACACAATTAAAATTACGTAAATAAAACATGTCTATTGTGACATGTTTTCTTATTACATAAATAAAACATTTCTGTTGTAAACAGTTAAACATTATTAAATAGAAAATAAATCAGCAGGGCTCGGTGGCTCAGCCTGTAATAGGGATTACAGGTGAGTGGATTGCCTGAGCCTGCGGGCTCGAGACCCACCTGGGCAACTTGGCGAGACCTCATCTCTACAATAAATCAAAAATCAGCCAGGCGTGGTAGCGCGTGCCTGTAGTTCCAGCTACTTGGAAGGCTGAGGCGGAAGGATTGCCGGAGCCCAGCAGGTGAGGCTGCGGTGGCCGGGAGCTGCCACTGCACTCCAGTCTGGGCGACAGAGTGAGACTCCAACTCAAAAAAAAAGAAAAAAGAAAAAAAAGAAAAGAAATCATGTGACAATCAGTAGAAGCTGCATCACTGAATTGCATCACTCTCATTGTTTGGGAACAGTCCTTTTATTCATTAATTTTATTGTACCTACAGTGTATTTACAATTTTTCAATAAATGGAATCATAGTCATTCATGCCATATTTATTGTGGGCTTCTTCTTAAACAGACTTTTTTCCTGCATACCTCTTATCTTAATCCCCCCATCAATGTTCACACGCTAGTGTATTTCACCATAACTTTTTCCACATATATAGATTCATAGCTTCCACATATATAGCTGCATATTATTATTGATTATTATCATTGGTCATTTTATTAAATATGCAAGCTTAGTATATGCCCTTCTGTAAAATTTGCTCTTCTAATTCATTATGGAAATATCTCCAGGACAGCAGAAATAGATTTAAAAGGTTATTTTTAATGTTTGCGAAATATTTCAAAGTATGGGTATGAGTAGAAAGAATCATATTTTTTATAACTCACATGCTGAATGTGCAAATGTCATTTTACTAGCCAATAGAATTGAAATGCTGTTGCCAAATTTCTTCTGATTTCCTATCCTTGATGGAAGCAGGCAGGAGACCTTTGGGGAAAAATCCATGAATGCAATTCTGCAGGAGCTGTTGTGGGATAAGGTCAGAAGAGTGTGTGTGTTTGTGTGTATGAGAGTATGTATATATGAGAGAGTGTGTGTGAGAGTACGTGTATGTGAGTGTGTGAGTGTATGAACGTGTGAGAGTATGTATATGAGATTGTGTGAGTGTGGGGAGAGAGTGGTGGTCATCACTAGTTGTCTTAAAGAACTAGTGTCTACATGCAAAAGTTATGTCCTGAAGAAGTAAAAGTTAGAGCCTGAAAAACAAACCCAAAGTTGGGCAGTAGCCAGGAGATTTTGGTTCACAAGAACATGTCATTCTCAAAAACCAAAGGAACCACCTGAATCTAAATATCTAGCATGAGAATGGGACTGGGAGGTGGTCCAAAGGGAAGCTGGAACAGTCACTACATCCCATAGGGCTTTTTCCAGTACACATTTGCATGGATAGCCTGGTTGCTCTAATGGAGCCAGGAGAGGACAGAAGTCACAGAGCCTCAGTGACTGATTTACAAGTTGCTGTGTCTACAAAAATAAGAGATTGTAAACACCCAGCAGCACATTTCACATATGTTGAGGCAAATCTGAAGACAGTTTAATTTAAACCTGAGTCACTGGCTTTCAGGATTATGCTTGAAAGTTCCTCTCAAAGTGACACGATGTCACACAAACAACATTCTTTCTCCTGTCTAAATATCTGATATTTTACGAAAATAGATCTGGAGACTTCCTAAAAAGAATTTCTTATTTCTTTTTTTTTTTTTTTTTTGAGTTGGAGTCTCACTCTGTCGCCCAGACTGTAGTGTAGTGGCTGCTTCCGGCCACCGCAGCCTCGGCCTGCTGGGCTCCGGCGATCCTCCTGCCTCAGCCTTCCAAGTAGCCAGAATTACAGGCATGAGCTACCATGCCCGGCTGATTTTTTGATTTTTTTATTGTAGAGATGAGGTCTCGCTGCCCAGGCGGGTCTCGAACCCGCGGACTCAGGCAATCCACTCACCTCAGCCTCCCAAAGGCGCGGGATTACAGGCTGAGCCACCGAGTCTGGCTTTATTTCTAATAATGATCCCAACCCAGTGACTCAAAGAATTCAAAGATAACAGTTATGGTGCTTTATAATCTATCTCCTTTGCTGAATTCAAAATAAAATATAAACACCGCTTGTTAAAAAAGCAGTGATAGAATTTAACTACTTGTTTTCAGCATTGAAAGTGAAATTATAAACTTGATAAAGCTCTGTCCTCCCCACTGTGAAGTATGTCTCCTCTCTGAATTCCCTGTCCTAATTTTCATTTCAGACCACATCGAATATAAGGGATTGTGTACAATGGGAACACATAATTCTAGCTGCCCTGTTTCTTGTGAAGAAACAGAATACCCTGCAACTATTTCTTATTCCACTTTTCCAAGTCAAAAAGCTTTGAAATATCTTTCCAAGAAGTTGAATCAAAGTCAGAAATACATCAGGTAATCCTACTAGACTTTTAAATAACTAGTAATTCACATGCATTTTTTTTCTCAAAGACTCATGAAATAAAAATTCTAATCAGTCAAAAGAGGCGGTGTTTATGTCATTGAATTAACAATGAAAGCATATAGTTTTAAAATTAGATAAGGTCATGCCTTTCAATCTCTTAATTTAATTGTGTGAAAAAAAATTATGCTTGCTTGAGTAATATGCTCATGATTACACCTTTATTGCTCACACTGGGGAAAGTAGTAATGCTGACTAGTATCAATTAATGCATTAACATATGAAAATTCCTTTCTTCTATATTACATAGTTTGTCTTCAAATAACTGTATGAGAAACATGGATCAGAAACTCTTAATTTTACAGAAGAGGAAACTGAAGCACACTATGTTTTGAGGAACTATCCTGTGAAGATAGTCTGTGGCACAAGAAAGCATTGTGCCCAAGATCTTTGACTTTGGTCTCCTTTCCCTCTCCACAAAGACATATAATTCCAATTTTCCCAGTTAGCTAAGTATTAAATTAGTTCTCTTTCTGCACTACCTTGATCCCTTTTAGAAATTACAAGCCAGATTTTATAATGTGCTCTTTGTTTTGTTTTGTTTTTATTTTAAAGACGTGGGGTACAATTCAGGTTTAGGTACATAAGTGGTCATCGTACAGGTAAACTTTGGTATTCTTATTGATGTTACGTGACCCTTACTCCCCCCACCCCGGCAGTGTCCTACTACTGCCAATCCCTTTCTTATAGTATTATGATAAACATTCAGGGTCCGCTTATGAGTGAGTACATGTAGTAATCAGATCTCTGTTTCTGTAATGTGTGTGTGTGTGAAAGCATGTTTTGTGTACAGTGTCAGCCTAATATTTATTAAAATTAAATGTTATCCCCATGTAAATGTCTAGGCAATAAAGTGATCTTTATAAGTCAGAATGAAAAAATGTTTTCATCAAGACAGGGCTGACAAGATATAATTTCAAACATTTAGCTGATAAGAAAATGAAGAGCTAGAAAATTTGCAATTATGTCTTTGCTTACACTTCTGACACCAACATAGATATTTATTTGTATTTCATTTTAATATGGTAACTAATTTACTTGTAATATATATTTAAATATGACTTAGAAGAGCACTTCTTGTGACTAGTAGAAGTCTCCTGAATTTCATAATTATTTCATACGCAAAGAATGTAGACATGATTTTGGAGAAATCATGGTAAATCAGAAAAGAAACCCAGGCATAAAACAAAACGGTCTTAAAGAATATTGGTTTTTTTCTAAGAACTTAGATTATTATAAAGAGATCCCCTATGAATCCTATCACATAACTGACATATAGGAGACTTACATGGTTGTGAAGAGTGGAGGCCACTATCAGGAGGACTAAGGTGAGAAGCTGAACAGAGGTGGCCCGACTCAGGTTGCCCAAATCCTAGTCAGTTAGAAGTCACACTTATATTAAGAATCTGCACCTGGCCCGGTGGCTCAAACCTGTAATCCCAGCACTTTGAGAGGCCAAGGTGAGAGGATTGCCTGAGCTCAGGGATTTAAGACCAGCCTGGGCAACTTGGTGAGACCTCATCTCTACAATAAATCAAAAAAATAAGTCGGTCATGGTAGTGTGCACCTGTAGTTCCAGCTACTTGGAAGACTGAAAAGGAAGGATCGCGTGAGTCCAGCAGGTCAAGGCTCCGGTGGCTGTGAGCATGCCACTGCACTCTAGTCTGGGCGACAGAGTGAGACTCCCACTGGAAAAAAAAATTTGGCGTATGCAAAGATACTAGATATCAAACGAGGGTAAATAGAAAACACATATACAGTTTGTTAGGAAAGCAAGTGTGAAATCGCAGTAAGATTTAAAAAGAAATAGCTCCTAACTTAATCCTGAAGCTTGTGCGTGTCTTCCTAGAGCAGAAATCAGCACCAGACTATGACCAGTCCAGGACTTCATGTGGCAGCTGCTGGACCCCAAAATGATATTTAGCTTAGCTTAATTAAAGCAGGAAACGTGGTGGTGAATATAAGGGTAGATTGTGGCTGAATTTCAGCCAATTTCATTGGTAAAGCAATTTTAAAAATTGTTCTGTTTTAACTTAAAAAGTTTTGAAATAAAAATTCATCACTCAAGTTAAACCATCCAAAAGCACTTTTTTTTTTTAGTGCTTTCTAGCGCAATAAAAACAAAACCTCACTTTTTATTTTATGTGTGCCTCTTCTGATACAAGCAAATATTCTTGGACTTAAATCCTGAACAATTTTACTATCACCATGAGACACAGATTCAGTGAGACACAAATTACTGGAGAAATCAACTGCCTCAGAGAAGTTGAGTAAATATCACAATATTTTTGTGGGAGATGGGTTTATCCTTTCTCAAAAACACAGATGGAACATGTTTGGAAATGATTATAAATGTTGTGCTTAGGAAATTAAACAATATTATCAGTTTACATGCAAATTAGGAACACAATGGATGCCCCAAAGATTGGACTATTACTAAAATTTCTGGACTTCCAAGACAACTTTATTATTTCCATCACTTTGGCAACTGTTTTATTATTTGCAAATATTACTATAGCCCTTAATTACCTATTTAAACATAGTATATTCTTCTGTTACCCAGGGCTAAACCAATGAAAGTTAAGTAAACATATTAATGATGTATTTTTGAATTAAATATATTCAGGAATATTGATTTCAAAAACTATAAACAATAAGAAGAGTGATTTACAGCCATGTTCCTTGGATATGTGAAAAAAAGTTCTAGGAAACATTACTATTAGGATCTGTTCTTAATGATAATTGTTATTGCCATTTGAAAATCATGAGGTGGTTGGTTTCGCCTCAACTTATAACACAGACAGGTTCATATTTCTCCATTCATTTAATAGTTTCATCTTTCATTTGCTCTCTAAATTGCCCATTTTACAAATATATAATGGGCACCTAATATGTTATGAGTCAAGGGGTATTCTAGACATTAGGGACACCTCAGTGTGCAAAAGACAAAAATCTGCCTTGTTGTGCTAGGTCCACTAGGGTGGAAATGGATAATCAATATTTATAGTCATGTCAGATGGTGCTAAGTATTGTGGAGGAAAGGCAGCAGAAAAACAGTCTGGGGAATCCACAGACTGGGAGGGTTGTTTTCAGGATGGTAGATATGTAAGGAAAGACATTGCTGAGATGATGACAGTTGAGCAAAGAACTATGGCAGTGGTTCTCAAAATGCCATGGAGGAGTATTACTTAGAGTATACAGGGGAGTCTGGGGGCTGGAAAATTGAGAAGAGTGATATGATTTGGCAAGTTGCAGACGTATTTTGATTATTGTGTGAAGAACAAAGGGTATAGTTGAGGTGAGTTGCATTAAAGTTAGAAGCAGAATGACCATTCAGAAAGGTATAGCATAAATCTAGATGAAAGACCATGACAACTTGGAGAAAGGTGGTACTGCTGAATGAGGCAACAGGTGACAGGTCCCCAAATATACATGAAGGTAAGCTACATAGGATTCCCTGACGGTTTGGCTATGAATTGAGAATGTTCACATTACAAATGAGGAAAACATCAATAGTTTGAACTGGAGTATGTTAAATTTGAAATACCTATAAGGTATTCAAGTAGCAATAGACGGACACAATTAAATATATTATTGAAGTTCAAGGTAGAGATCTGGCATGGAGATAGAGCAAGTAAGGGCCTCCCAGACCACTGTTTAGCCATTCTGGTGGCATATAAAGATTTCTAGAGGACATTAAGAAAAGTTTCTTTGCCCAAGTATATTAATGCCATAGAGTAAACAGCTAGTACTTATCGAACATCCAATACATGTCAGGGTTTGTGTTAATTCTTTGCATACATTATATAATTTCTTCTCACCACAGCTCTGTGATTTCAACTCTAAAATTTTGACCACACATGAGAAAACCAAGACATGGGAAAACAATGTAATTTCTGGAGGTCACACAAGTAACAAAGGACAGAACCAAGATTTGAGTTAAAATTAAACATTTAAATGTTTGTGAATACTTTGGTCTATTCAATAGATATTTACATTTAACATCTTTTTCCAGTTTCTCAGAAACAAGGTGTGAAAAATTGTTGGCATTAAGAAACAATTATTTTTCCTAAATACCAAGTGACAAAAATGTCTTTCAAATTATGTTAATTGTGAATAAATATTGAATATAATTCTGTGTTTGATTCAATATCAAATAGCATCTAAACAAAAATGAATGTTACTTTTGTCAGATAAGAATTAAAAATAGTGCTGACAATCTTGAGCTATATTAACTATGTTTTTATCCCTAGGGAGAATCTTGTAAACATTGAAATAAACTATAGTGACTTAAACTATAAGATAACCCAGCAGCAAAAAGCAGTGAGTGTGTCTGAGTTACTTGGTAAGTGACATTTAGTTTTCCCTCAATTTTTAAAAAAATTTGTATTTTTTTCTCAAGTATTTAAGCTTTAGCTTATCAAAGGAGAAAAAAGCATCAGTAGTGCTTGATATTCAGCTGCTATTTATATCTGATAGCTTTCCACTCCATGGAAAACACTACAAGTAAACCTCACATCGATTTTTGACAAAGAAAAGGCTGGTGTTCATCATGTCATATTCACATTCACATGAAACTTTCCTTTTAGACTGCTCCTCTCATCAAGTGACTCTTGTAGAGTGCTTCTCAGCAATCCTACATCTGAGTAGAGTGCCAACTACCTTATCCCTCCACACAGGGCTCCAGTACAGAGTGGGTAAAAAAGAACTTGAGGAAGCAAAATTAGACATATAATTTACCATCACTGTCTGCTCAATCACCTTCACCATTCAGATTAACAAGCTTAGTTGTTGATTTCCTAGATCTCACAGTACCACCGAAGAAACCAAGTAGGAGACAGAATAGGACATTAGAGTCAGGCAAAGTGACAGCAGTTGGATTTAGCTGCTGATATCCTGAATAAGGAGGAAATATATAAATTCCCCAAAGATTTCAGAGAAGCCTATGTTTCATAATCACACTTTACAAAAATAGCAGGATCCTAAGGATGGCCCAGGGCAATGAGATAATGATTAATAACGTAATTTATTTCAAGAAAGCAATGCTGAGGCAGTCAAATTCAGAAACAGAAAGTAGAATGGCAGTTGCTAGGGATTGGGGAGAGGAGGGTATGGGGGTTTAGTGTTTAATGCAAAGAATGTCAGTTGGGCAAGATGAAAAGTTCTGGAAATAGAGGAAGATAATGGTTGCATAACAATGTGAATGTGCTTAATGCCACAAAAGTATACACTTCACAATGATTAAAATAGCAAATTTTATGTTATGCATATTTTACCACAGTAAAAACCACAAAATAAATATAAATATAGATCTTAGAAACATCAGAAAAAGGTAACACTGTGTTAGTTATTTTAGTTAAATAAAATATTATAAATGCTTAAAAAGGAATAATGTTTTGACATTTGAAGTCACAAATTATTTGGAAATTAATTTTCTGAAAAACATCATTATCCAGTAAAGCCATCTAGATGGTACATTTCGGTTCTTCATTTAACACAGGTACATGAAATTGTCATTATCTAGGATCTTTTATGAATTTACCTAGATTTTAAATCCTCAAAAGTCCTTGAGATATATTTTTGAAAACAGATTCTATGTTTGTTTTTTGAGATTATTTGTATTGATATTACTTTAAGATATTGCCCATTGCTTTTGCCTGATGTATTTTAAATTTTGAAACAATACAATTAACACATCTTCATATAAATATCAGTTATGATTTACTTATAGTTTCAAATAATTTAAAATGTAATAATGTTTAATTTGCTTTTTATGAACAAACATTGGCCTTCAACTTCTTTATTTGTTTTATTGCAGCGGATGTTGGTGGTCAGCTGGGCCTATTTTGTGGGGCCAGTCTGATTACAATTATAGAAATTATTGAATACATATTCACCAATTTCTACTGGATATGCATTTTCTTTTTGTTGAAGATACCTGAAATGACCCAGGGGACTCCTCCACCTCAGAATCACCTGGTTAATAAAAATAGGATACAGGAATGCTAATGTTCATTTAGAATAAAACCATTTGTGTTTCTCTTCACAAAACCATTGAATTTATCATGACAAATTCATCACTATGTGATTTAATGGTGTATTTTTTGTGGTTCAATAAAAGCCATTGAAGATTTCTTTATAAATCTATCTATCTGATCTACTCTATCTGTATGTATGTACATTTGTTTATGTATATAAAAGAAATTGGCACTATTTTTTTTAACTTTACATACCAGCACCTAGAATGGTAGAGACTACGTATAGTAGGACATTTCATAATATTTTTCAGTGAATGAATATTTGGGTAAAGGAAAAAAGACATTCTTTATGACTAATTTTGTAATTAGACCTGATAAATAAACTATATATGAGGAGAGAAAATATTTCTTTATTCAGGAAATAGTATGTATAATTCATACTTTATAAAGTGTTAAGAATTTTTTATTTTGATTGAGATCAACATGCTTTTTTTTCCTTTAATCTGGAGTGTGCTATTGTAAATTACTCTTGGAGGAGTGAAAATCTACCCAATCTGTACAGGTGAATACTGAAATCCAATAGAGAATAAAGGTAAACTTGTAGTATATTGAAACTGTGTGGCATTTATTATTTTTTCCCAAGTACTTCTACTTACTTGATTAAAGAGGAAATTCAAGAAATGCGGTGCTCTCCCCACCCCTCAGGCAATAGATTACTTTCAGCCCCACAGAATATTCAATCATTGGTGAATTGTTTAGAAGCTTTCTCAACCACACCATGGAGGACCCACTAAAATCCTAGAATTATTTTTTGGAGGGCGGGCCCCTTGTAGTACAGGTTTCCCCTGTTAGGTAAGTGTACTATGAACCCATCGGCATCAGTGTACCAGCTAGCATTGTTGTTAAGAGACTGCGATCAGCTTCAGTGAATACTTTTTTTCAGTGAATTCTTTCAGCGCACCTTTGCCCATTTCATGATGGGAGAGTCTCAAGCCCTTACTGCGTTGTGTTCAGACCACAAAAATGGCATGACACCCATTCTCTGCCCTCCCTACTCACCCAATCTCGCCCTGAATGACTTTTTTCGTTTGTTTATTTTGCTGGTGGAAAAAAGTCCTCAAAGGGAAACGTTTTGATGAAATGGAAGAGGGGAAACAAAAAACAGCAGAAGTACTAAAAGGCATCAAAATCAATCGGTTCAAAAACTGTTTTGAGGAGTGGAAAAGCATCTGGATAGGTGGATTGCATCAAAAAGAGAGTATTTTGACAGTGACTAAAGTTTAAACATGTAAGAATAAATATACAATTTTAAATAAGTCAATACTGCCATTTGGAGTTCCCCCTCATAGTTAAGAAGTAATAAACAAGTCTAATAATTGAACATCTAATTCATTCTCTGTAATATTGCGTTTCTTTTTAGACCACATAAGTAAAAATGTTGAAATGTTATTTCCAAGTTTAATGATAAGCAAGTGCTAGTGGTGTGGGAATGAGGGCAGTGCAATCTTATGGTAGTCAAGAATGTTTATATCTCATGACTCAGAAATCCCAATCTTGGGTAAATACTCCAGACAAATTCTCCCACAGAGATGTGGCATTCAGCTTCTCACTTCCTACATTGCAATTCTTCTAATGATCTAAACAGCGTTCCTAAGCTAAACCAAGGGGCTACTATTCTTTTTCAAGTTATTGTGTGGCTAACATAAAATGGATCAAGTAGCAGAATGCAATTGAGAAAATTCTTTTTTTTTTTTAGGTCTGATGCAGCCTGCATTATAAGAAATATTAAGCATTTACTAGAACTCACTAGTTTATTTTTCAATACTCCTGTGCTATGAAAGTGACAAATATATATACAAGGGTTAATGTGCCAACATGCTGTGCAGTTAAAAGTCCATGTGTAACTATTGACTCCCCCAAAACTTAACTACTAATAGCCAACTATTGATCAGAAGCCTTACCAATCATGCAAACAATTGATTAACCCACATTTTGTATGATTTTATATGTAAAATGTATTATATATTACATTAATAAAGTAAGCTGGAAAAAGAAAATGTTCTTCAGAAAACCATAAGGAAGAAAAATATGTTTACTATTTATTAAGTGGAAGTGGATCACTATAAACGTCTTTATTTTCCTCTTCTTCATGTCGAGTAGCCTGAGGAACAGGAGGAAGGGGAGGGGTTGATCTTCTATCTCAGGAATGGCAGAGGCAGAAGAAAATCCAGTTCTAAGTGGATCCACACAATTCCAACTCATGTTGTTCAAAAGACAACAGTATTTTGTTTAAAAGAGATAAATGGAATTGATGTCTTGAAAAAACTAAGTCGCTAAGAATGAGATTCTTGAAATGCAAGGTCCCATAAGGGCTTGGAAAAACAGATTGGTTGTCAGTTTGGTCCTATCCACTACCTTTTATTGACCAATATAATATTTCACTGCTGTCAATGTACCAAAATAAGAAACTTAACATCATGTCTTAGGATATTCTCTACCACCCTAATACTAGAATTAAAATACCTTTGCCAAAAACAGGAAATATGTACTAGAGGCATGAATAGCTAAGCTGGTCAATGAGTAAATGTGTACTTTATTTGATCATGAAGCAGAGTGGAGGAGAAACACCTTTGAAAATGTTTCTGGGACATCGGGGTGAGGAAGAAGGTTGGAGGATGATACAGTCACATACTCTATGACTTTCTTACGTCAAAAACAGTCTTATTTTACTGGATTCAGTTGTGCTAAATCTGGAATTGCACTTGTGTGTGCTGCATCCTAAAAGACTCACCATGCCAATATTATGCCAATTCTTCTGAAAGTATAAGTATATATAGGGGAACAAATGGGTTGAGGGAAGACTCTGCGCCATGTGGCTGAGGACTGGTTGAAAGTTTTGGGCACTTCTATGATAGTGATAGTCCCATAACCTTTACCTGTCTAGTGGTACTCCTTTTTAGGAGTGGACAAAGGAGGATGTTATGGGAAGACTCTTTCTGCTACTTGCCTGTAGGCGAGTAGTATTGCTGAACCAGAAACTCTCACCTGAAGAGCCCAAGTCTGTGATAAGACAGATGAAAATGGAAAAGGAAGATGAGAAGAGTATACATAACAGAAAAATTACACTGGGAAAGAGTGATCTTATTATTTTCTGAGAGAAAGTCCCAGAGCAAGAGAATTAATGCTCTTAATTCTCTCATGTGGTGTGTTGGTCATGATCCAGGCTGGGAAAATCCCTGGATTTGCTTTTTTCGAGATGCAGAAATGCTCTATAAAGTTAACCCAACAACTCTACTTGAGTTATTTGAAAAAAATATGTCAATCAGCATCCCTTATTTGAAAAAAATATCAATTAGTGTTCCTTATTTGAAAAAAATCAGTATCCCTTAATGACCTGTGTAAAATAAATAGCAAATTGGAATCATAATTCGGGCTTTGTTTCTCGAGTTATGTTTATTGTACTCCTACTTTTGTATAGCGGATTTTCACTGGATCTCCATAAAGGACTAAGAGGTCCTGACATTACTGTGTCTGCCTTAAAAGATAATGTGGATATAAGATAGACTATAAATATTTCTAAACAAATGGAGCATCACACTTGCCAACCATCCTAGTTGGCAATCAATCAGGAAGAATTTGCCAATATCTTCATTGCCATAAAATCTGTTATATTAAAAGGGGAGCAGCATAAAAACAAATGAGCTATCAAGCCACAAAAAGACATAAAGGAAACCCATATGCATATTACTAAGTGAAAGAAGCCAATTTGAAAAGTCTACATACAGTATGATTCTAACTGTATAATGTTTTGGGAAAGGCAAAACTATGGAAACAGTAAGGAAAAAAAATCAGTGGTTGACAGAGGTTTCAGGGAGAAAGGGAGGGATGAATAGATACATCACAGGAATTTAAGGCAGTGAAACTATTGTCAGATACTATAATGATAAATATATTTCATTTCATTCTTGTCAAAGTTCGCAGAATGTACAACACAAAAAGTGGATCCTAAGGTAAACTATGGATTTTAGTTAGTAATGAGGTATGATACTCTGTCTCTGTTGAGTAAGATCACTTATAACGCAATTGCTCTTTCCTGGTCAAAGTGCTGTGAATTAGCAAGGATTTTTTTTTTTTCCATTGTATATCCAATTGGTAGGGAGGCCCATGCTTCACAATGATACCTGGAATCTTGTGTTGTTAAAAACTTGTTTCCTGAGCACTGGGGTATGATTTAGCTCCCTGTATCCCAGATAGAAATTGAAGTTTCATGAGCAGTGGTCTCTGGTGACTACCATAGTAGCAGAAAATGCATGTTATATAGAAAGGGATATTGTGCTAGAATGTTTGGAAAATAACATGATAACATTAACTGAGATATGGTGTATAGAGCAATATTCTAATCTCTTCACTACAGTTATATGCTATAATAAAATATTTAAGGTTTTACTTATAGACCAGAATGCAAATGAAATGAGTAGACAATAATCCTAGGATGAGGATGTATTTTTGGAAGGAAGTCAACCTAAAATTCTTCATTTATGTCAAAGCTATAGAGGTAGATTAGACAGAGAAAAAATAATGCAAGTTTGGAAAAGTTACATATGCAGTTAATGTCTTCTAGCAAAAACCTACTCTTAGGTACAAGAATAATGGATAAAGAAGAGGAATAAGTAGTTCAAGTGGCAAAGGATTATAAAAATCTCCTGAAATTTTGATTATGGTTAGCATGTTTTGGAGAGGAAATTTCAGCTTCATTGGATGATACAAGTGCTGGTTGTCCTCCACGTTTTAGTATGTCTATGTCTGTGCATCAAATATGGTAGAAGTTGTTAGAATTATAAGAAATGCCTAGGAAATATGCAGCAGGGAGATGTTGGTAAAGGTTAAGCATTGGTTCTATGGCCTTTCCTCCAGCTTTGAGGACAAGTTGTCTCTAGAACATAGGAATATATGTAGCTCAGATCCCCCAACAGAGAGAATCAGGTAGGACTCTGAACAGTAGAAAGCACCTGCATCTCCATTATGAGATGGTTTGCTGAGCAATGAGGAACCAGTATTTGAGAAACAGCTGCACTGAGAGCAAGACTTAGTCACACGCTGTGAGGATCTTCATGATCTCCATAAAAGCTAGTTTGATTGGAAGGATCCAGTATT